ACAGTCGGTCAATGATGCCATCCCTCTGGAAATTTGTACAGTGTGCTACACCTCTTTTGATCAGGTGGTTCGCATGATACGGGAAGTGTGGTGTAGGGGCAGAGATAGCAAAATGTGATATTAAAACAGCCTTTGGATTCTGCCAATTCATCCACAAGATTTTGATCTGTTAGGCTTTCAATTTCAGGGATCCTTTTACATCGATAGAGTCTTGCCCATAGGTTGCTCTGTGTTCTGTGTGGCATTTGAGTGTTTCAGCTCATTTATTGAATGGAAGCTCAGGAGCAGGGTGGGCCGTAAGTCTATGGTCCATTATCTTGATGATTTTTTGTGTGTGGTGAAAGTAACACAGGGAGGTGTAAATTTATTTTCGGCAATGGCCGATGATATAGGTTTACCATTGGCAGAGGAAAAGACAGAAAAACCTTCTACGTTCCTGACTTTCCTCGGCATTGAGCTAGATACCGTACAACAGAAATTAAAGCTGGCCAACAACAAATTAGCTGATCCCAAGATTTGGATAGCATCCCTATTACAAAAAAGAAAGGTGTCTTTGTGAGAGCTTCAGGAGATTGTAGGCCATTTAAACTTTACTTGCAGAGTCCTGGTGTCAGGTCACGCCTTTTTACGTCAGCTGTGCAACATAATGAAAGGCCTGCATTGCCCTTGGCATATGACGGGAGTTACGTGTGGTATGAGAGAGGACCTACAGGTCTGGTGTCAGTTTTTAGCTGAGTTTAATGGATTATCTTTCTGGAGAAGTGAGATAGGGCTTAAGGTGGACTTCCAGGTCCATTTGGATGCTGTGGATTCTCTAGAGTTTGGAATTTATTTCAGAGGGAGATGGCGTACCAGCACATGGCCTGAAAATTGACATTAGTCCGATATTAGCAGGGATCTAACATTCCTGGAATTCTTACATCAGTCTGATACTAGCAGGGATCTAACATTCCTGGAATTCTTCCCAATAGTGGGTGAACTATGGGGTATGGGCAGAAGAGTGGTCAAACTGTGTCGTGCATTTTTGGTGCAAGAAACAGGCTGTTGTTTACATTGTAAACAACCTTATGTCTCATTCAGAGAGGGTCATGGCATTGGTTAGGGCATTCACACTGCGGGCCGTGAAATTCAACATTTTGGTTCAGATGAATAGTTTAGCTGATGCCTTGTCGCGTCAACAGATCAGGTGGTTCAGGGAGCTAAATCCAGGAGCCAACAAATAGTTTAGCTGATGCCTTGTCGCATCAACAGATCAGGTGGTTCAGGGAGCTAGATCCAGGAGCCAAAGAGTTCCTGGAGATTCTGCACCCAGAGGTTTGGCAGATTGGTGAGAAGACACAGAAAGGGCAATAGGCTTGGCTCCAGCACCAAGGGTACTCGTCTATGAGTATAGTTTCGGGAATTTAGGAAGCTGGTTAACTTAGCAATAGGCTTGGCCCTGGCACCAAGGAAACGAAAAGGGTACTATGCTATGAGTATAGTGTTTCAGGAATTTAGGAAGGTGATTAACCTGGAGCCGATCTAGCCTGCACCGGTGGATCACCTTCAACAATTCATTGTGTATTTGAATAGAAGGGGATTGGCACCTGGAACTATTCAGGGTAGGTTGTCCGCGCTCGCCTTCTACTCTAGGATTAATGCGTATCAGGATTATTCCTCAGATTACCACATTAAGAAAATTATTGAAGGGAGGTCTAAGGAAAGGGGTGCAGTTCAGGACACCAGGGCTCCCATATCACCAGTCTAAGGAAAGGGGTGGAGTTCAGGACACCAGGGCTCCCATATCACTTGCGTTGTTAGAACACATCTGTAAGCAGTGGGAGCTGTTGTGCAGGGACAAATATGAAATAGTTTTATTTACAGCAGCGTCATTGTTGATATTTTTTGTGGCCCTTAGGATTAGTGAGGTAGTTGCCACTGGAAAGAATGACGAGTCTAGAGTAGTTCTGCAATGGCAGGACATTAGGGTTATGGATGGAATGGTACAAATTTTAATTAGACAATCCAATGCCAACCAAATAGGGAGGGCTACGTAACTTATGCTAGCATGTTGCCATAAAGAACGAATTTGCCCTGTGAAGGCCATGATTAAATACTTGGTTGTTAGGGGACAAGATCAAGGCTGTTTCTTTAAACATAGAGATAGTTCCCCATTGACAAAGTATCAGTTCTGGAAACTCACAGACGTAGCGCTGGATAGGGTGGAGGTACAGGGATCACAATTTGGAACACACTCTTTTAGAATTGGGGTAGCATCCACAGCTGCTGCCTTGGGATACAATACAGACGAAATTGAACGTTTGGGTAGGTGGTCTTCATCCAACTACCGTAGATATATCAGAATACTTCCTAATGTCTAGGCAAGGGCCTGGTTTTTATTGTATTTCCTCAGGCTCCGTGATGACGGGGTGACAGTGACATGTTTTGATTTTAGGGCACAGCTATGTTTATTGGGCAGCATGTTATTTCCGTGATGATGGGGTGACGGTGACATGTTTTGATTTTAGGGCAGAGCTATGTTTATTGGGCAGCATGTTATGAGGCTGCATCCCCATGAGCAACCTGGGCCTTGGAGCCAGAGCCCACATCTTATGGAAGGGGCTGCATGGGATATTGTGGAGCCAATTGTGTATGGCTGTTGATTTTGGCCAGCTTCCACCAGATTTATTGTTCATACATCTGGGTGGCAATGACCTGGCCAGGCATCATGGAAAAGCCTTAATCTTGGACATTTTGTATGACTTGAGATGGTTGAAAGCTTCATATCCGGCCGTGCATATCGTATGGTCGACAATTGTCCCTCGGTTGGCATGGAGAGATGCCAGGATTTTTTTCTCCGCTAACACAGCATGCAGGAGTGTTAACTGGGAGGTCTGCAGAGTGGTCTGCACCAGCCTTGGATCGGTGGTTGGACACCAAAGGATCCGCATGGATAAGCCTGAGTTTTTTCAGAACGATGCCATACATCTGTCCAATTTGGGTTTGGCTGTCTTCATCGAAGACATCAAAGGGGGGCTGCGTGCTGAGCTTGATAGGTTTGATGGCGGGCATGGGACTTAGGATGGCTAGTGGCATGTAGTGCGGATATAGCAGGTTTTCTGGTGAGTCCCATTGCAAACTCAGGTAAACTGTAGCCCATCTGAACTTCCAGTGCTGTGGATCGTGTGATTACAGCGCTTGGGGGAAAGATGTGCTAGGCCACAACTGGACCAACAGTCAAGCTGGCTTGAGATCCTCAAGTGGTCAAATTGTGGCCTGCCAGGTTTTTCCGGTTGTTTAAGACCGCAAAAACTTGGAGCCAGGGACTCACCCATTTGTTGCCTAGGGGGTCCTTTGGGACCTCTACAATTTAACCTGATTCCGCCATACAGCAGGCCCCCCTTTGCCAAAGGATGGCAACATTGATTATGATTAATAAAGTGTGGCCCGTGTTTTAATCCATAATCTTCGTCTCATGTCTTTATTCCAGGGTTGGGAGGGCAAAGAAACTGGAAGTGCACAATACAATCCCAGACCTGGACAAGAACTGAGTTTTGATGAGGATGCTTGGAAGCAGTCTATGTATCAATGCAGAGAGACATATGAATGACTGGCATTCCTGGCATGATCTTAGCTCAAACTAGCCTGGGCGGCATGGTTTCCAACCCAAATACTTATTCCCCTCATCTCAGAATATAATGTTTCCCTGGACAGCAAAAGTTTTGGTGGTTAGTCTGTCATCTAATGATGAGAGAAGGATTGGAAGCATGGATAGACACATGTATATCAGGGCCAACCGTACTGTGACGATTGCCCCACATCACTCATGCCATTCATAGTCATGAGCTGATTTGCATGAGCCTATGAGAGGACTGGAGAGGAGAAGTCAGCAGATATATGAAGGTTTGGCAGGAGAGATGGAGTCAGATAGAGATGAAGATAGAGATGAAGACAGAGATAGAGATACAGTTCGAGATTGAGATCCAGATAGAGATAAGGGCTGGTTAGTCAGAGAAAGAGGGAACAAATACTGAAAGATAGAAGGCTGGTTAAGAAAATAGGTAGAGAAGGTGGTAATGCTATTGCAAGAGAAAAGTATGTACTGAGAGAACTGTTAATGATTTGCTTGTGTACAATGTTTATCTGAAGAACTTCTGTTATTATTAAATCTGATTCACTTCAATAAATAAGTTCAGTTTGCATTTACAAGACAAGCGTTCTAACAAACGTGATTTATATTGTGGATTGAGGTAATCCACTGGTGGCAGTGAGAGGAAAACACAACGTGAGCCTTTGTGAGATCAAAACACACAGGTGCCACAAGGGTGAATGCCACACTTACCATTAGGCAGAGAGAGGCAACTGTCCCATCAGTTAATGAATGGGAAGGTGGAGAGGGAGTACTGATAAACAGAACTGTGCGTGCCACACAGCCTAGCCCATACCTCCTAAATTAGCTGCCTGACCTCAAGGGTGTTTCCTTGCTTGTTTGTTTGAGTCAGTGTTAAAGAAAGATTCAAGGTCACGATGACTCCCCCTTGACAATTCCATGGCCAGCTTCTTTCCATGGAATTGTCAAGGGAGACTCATCATGTCCTTGCCCCAACCAAACCAAGTTTTAGGCCAGCCTCATTTCATATGCATGTTTTAGCACCATCTTCAAGTGCCAGCATTGTATCTGAGATTCACTTGGGCTTCCAGACAGATTTTAAGCAGAAAAACCTGTGGGTGAAATGCAAAAGCTGCTTGCTCTCTGTATGCCACTTCATTATGTTTGAAAAGTCTGTGCATGTTGCATTACCTTAATCTCTGTGAATTCACACCTTTTATGCTAGCATTCTATGCTGAGAAGAGTAATGGTGTGGGTGAAAACCTGTTCTTGTTTTCCACGAGGCCTGTTGGGGCAAATCCTTGTTATGACTCTAAATACTTCTGCAAATATTAAAGATTAATCCAGCACTCGTGATCGGAGTGCAAGCCTTTAGCTGACCCACAAAGCCCAAAGGATTAGTTGGGTTTTTGAAACAGATGCTGATATAATTACACAGGAAGAAACATGACTTGCCAGTTTGAAAAGACACCTTCAGGTAACGTATCAGCGTTCAAGGAGGCATGCTCTAATGCAGGGAACTGACAAAGTAGCTTATAGTCTCAACTGGCTGTTTGTCTTTGTTTAGCATTACAATACCAGCAAGGTACCTCCAGCTTTGTGACGGTTTGACATGGGAGGACTCCTATAAACAGAATTGCAACAGTTGAAAAACCAGGCTAGGTAACTGAAACTTCCCCAATCTGATCAGGCTTGCTTTTCCGTCTCTTTAGACATAAATATCTAGCACGATTACACCTTTGATTTACTATTATGCATGAGTTGGAATAACATGGGTGGTTTTGAATTATGCATTCTCTTAACAGAACATTAAACCTTATGGTGAAACAGAATGGGCCAACAAGTAACTATTATCTTTGATAGAGTGGACTGGGGGAGACAGAGCGTAATGCTCCCAAATCATCATTGAAACTTTTCCTTGTGTGTGTGTGTGTGTTTTTCTGCTTCGCTTTGGTTGGATTGCTTGAATGAGAGCATTATAAATAATGCTGTGTTCCTTCTTGTTAATAAATAGCATTTGTGTTACTTAGAAGCATGATAGATTGCTGATCACTGTTAAGAGAGGGAGATTAAGGACTGACACATGAAAATAATTGTGTGCCTGCAAGCCAGGTCCTGCATAAAACTGGTTAAAACAACCCGGCAGTGCTTTTTAGCTTTTCGACATCTGAGGGAGGGATGGGGGGGGATGTGTCCTTGAATAATTTGATATCCCATATGTCCTTGCGTCTTCACATTGGGTTATGATTCAAAGTTACTGCAATCCATAGGAAATCAAGTTTGATTTTGTAATATAGTCAAATGAATGCTTTGGAGTGCCATGCCTGCGATCAATAAGAAAGCAGTAACTACATTTGCTTGTCATATGATGATATTGATGTAAAAACATAATGGCCAGAATTACAAAATCAATTCCATAATTTAATCAGGAATGTTTATTGATACTGTTAAAGTTGAATTCAATAGCTCATGGTATGCAGTTAATTTCCTACCTGTCATGGGAAAAATGTACCAAAATGTTCTTCCTTTGAACAAATAGAAGTTAATTTGATAGGGGAGGGAGAATTAGCAGACTCTTATTATTTTCATAGACATATATTTGTTTTTAACAGAGCACTGGCAAAAAAGAGGACCTTTAGACTTCAAGAGGAGTGTGCGTACCTCTGATGGTGTCTTTAATAGTTGATTGACCCCAAGTTACAGCAGTATGAAATAGAAAGAAAAACAAGTCATTTTCTCCATGGTATGAAGAACCTTATACATCTCTGTCATATGGCAGAGTTTTTGCCTTTCTTTCCTTATTTTAAAAAGCCCCCAAATATGATAATCTGTAATTATCAGGGAGTTACCTCAGCACTTTGATCATTTGGGTTATCCTTTCCTGCTCCTTTTCCAGCTTTTGTGAGGTGTGGTAATCAGAACTGCATAGTTTCCAAGATACATATGTGTGTATCTAGACTGATTGCAATTTCACTGACTTTGGCAGCCCTTCGCAAATTCCTCCTCCACACAGTCAAACAGTGGAAGGGGGTGAGAAATCTGGAGTCAGCAGACTCAAGCCACACACTCTCTGCCCGGCAACAATCTATGCCACAACACATCTCCCTTTATCCCATAGCAGGCTGCAAGGTGGGTTAGCTATTGCGGGAGAAACTGCCCTCCTCCTTATAAACCTGATGTGCTATCATTTGCTAAAATGTTATTAGTAATATGAATGCAAATTGTTATTATTATTAATAATTGTTATAGTATAATAATGATATTAATAATAATTCTTAACATTTCCTTAATATTAAATTTATTCCTTAAGCTGTCCATTTCTCAAGAACGGTTTGAAAGAATATTCAATAATTTTAAGAAAGGCAGCAGATTAATCAAAAGTCTAGGAGTCAGTCTTTTGTAAAGCTAATTGGTCTTAATTGCTGTTACTAAGAAAACCAACCCCTTCCCCAACCACTGTGAGGAATGCAATTGAAGTGCCTAATGTATGCATCAGGATAGTCTCCTCAACCATTTTTGGAGGGTTGCCTTCTGTGCTTAGTCACAAGCTGACTGTGATTTCACACGATCTCAGAAGAGACAATGAAGCCTATGAGCAGATGCCATAGTCTCAGCTAATCAAAATGGCCCAGTGCTTCAGCTCTGTGAGTCTTAACTATACTATAAATCTATTAATAATGACAAGGAAAGCCTTCTTAGAACAGTGAGAGTCTGATTAGATGGTCCAACTAACCCAGTCTAGGTCATGCAAACAGGGTTGCTTTGAAGTGCTATGTCATTTGTGACAATCCTGCATCAACAAGCAAGGATGACCCATGCCATACCTCAAGCAACTCTGTTCAGCACAATCTAGATTGTTCTTCCCTTTTGAAAAGAAACAGAGCAAAACAAAAAACCAAAATTCCCCCTCCTGTCTCCTCTGTCATTCTTTTGTTAAGCCACTTAAGGATCTTGAGAAATGGAAACCTTCCTTCCCTCACCCCTGTGGAGGGGAAGGCAGATAAAGCTTTTAATTTCTTTTTGATTTTGCCTAACTGACACAGTGCATCAGTGATGCAGTAAAAGGGTGAAAAGTGAGCAGGAAGGAAACCGTCCATTTCTCAAGATCCTTAAGTGGCTTAAGCAAAGAGACAGCTTAAGCTATCATCTTTGAGTCCCAGGAATCACATATGGTGGAATGGAACAAAAACACTTCAATCCAATCTGCACAAAAAACTAAACCAAACCAAAAAACCAGTAACCTCTGACAGGAACCCAAAAAAGTGTGGGTAGACATTTAACAGGAATGGGCTGGTTCATGAGGGCTTGCACGCCTTGTGGTTGCTGGGAAAAGGAGGAAACAGGCCTGTTCCTAACCCAGACCAAACTGTGGAACAAATACACCCTAGGTGTGAAATCACACATCTAGACAAACCTCTTAGGATGGACTTGACTAGAGAATGTGGAGCTACATTACGTCTATCATGTTCAATCATTTTTCTAAGAAAAAAGAAAAGGGTACAGCTGGAATTCTGAGAAAATGTTGACTATATATTCAGCTATTCAACATGTGAAGGAAAGGGGAAGCATCATATATAGCACTGGGTGCACCCTGAAGACATCCATGCACTGGCACAGGAATCGATTACATCAACATGTGGGCACATTTAGAACATGGGACGAGATCATTCAGAATGGCAGCAGTGGTGTTCCATCCTTTCCATGTTTTATTTCAGGCTGTGGAGAATGATGAAACAGGACAAAGCACCTTATTACAAAATCCTGTATTGTGCTACAGTTGCTAATTGGGCAGTACATACTTGATTCCAGGTTGCTGCCTTTTATAATCCAATTGTCATTGTTTCTTCATTTTACGATGTTAATAACACTGTGAACAACAAAGCTCTTGGAGGATCTATATGAGTCTTTGATAAAAAGATAATTACTAAAAACCCATCAGCTAGTTACTACACCCTACTGGGGATTGAAGTGAACCTGGAAAGGAGCCATATGCATGATGGTTATTTAACTTTTGTGGGGTAGTGGTTAGAGTGTTGGACTGATCCTTGGGAGAACCAAGTTCAAGTCCCCACTGGAACTTACTGACCTTGGCCCAAAGATCTTCTCTTACCCTGGCTTAATTCAAAGGGATGCTGTTAGGATAAAGTGTGGAGGAAAAGAGCTATATAAGCTGTCTTGAGATCAATGCAGGAAAGGTGAGACATACATGTAAGCAATAAAAATAATACATATATTAAGTTTAACCAAGAAAAAGTGGATCTGATGTAGAAAGTATGTGTGGTAAATCTAAAAGGCAGAGGACTTCTGCATGGGCATGCTATACAAATGGAAGACTCTGACTGGAATATAATGTTGCCTTCTGGGACGTATTGAAGCATATGGAGAAGTAGTCAAAGAATCAAACAAAGGCCAGCGCAGTCATCCCCAAAGCAAAATGGTAACCCACAGAGGAGGAGATGATAGATTATCTGGAATTTTATTACAAGCCTCATACTCTTTTCTATTGTAGTTATCACAGTTTTCCAGGAGAAGCCATAGTAACTGAAAGGACAGAAAAGGGCAATGAAGGAAACCAGGACTAGCAAAAAATGAGCTATGAAGATTGACTTAAAAACCTTAATCCTCCAAAAGCATTTTCCATGTGGTTTACCCATGCTATATAAATTTTTTAAGTGCATAGATAAAGCTGCACATACATCATAGTGTCATAAACTTCACAGAAAACATTCAGTCCTTTGTCTGCTATGGAAATATTGCCCTGTTGTAATTTTCTGTGAAATGTGGTATACTGAGGTTAAAGAATGGTATATTTCTCATCTTTCATCGCCACACACCCAGACAGATGAAATGTACAAATCCATTAGAGGGGGAGATCCGGGCCATTCTGAATGTCAGGAAAGCTTGCAGTGGTTTCAAAGGGCAATCACAGATCTTATTCATTGGTATGCTTTTATGCTGTGCTTTAGCTTTTCTTTGACGGCAACCAGAGGACCATTCGTAACAATCAGGATGACTTCATTTGTGTTTGTTTTTGCTTCCCGTTAATCCATGACCAACTGTGAAATTTGCTATTTGACCATAACCAGTCCATTTCATTTGTCATCTCTTTCGGCAATGTGGGAGAATGGAAAAGGGAGATGGACATAAATTTCAGTTCAACTCAACAGCAGGCACCAGAACAAAAGATGTGCCTCTGACCAAATATATTTCTTTTTTTAAAAAGGTGGGGGAGGGCAAAAATGAAAGCAGATTATACACCAGGAAATACTTCTCATGCCAAGAAAAAGAAGATATACGTGTAACACCAGCCCCACCATGAAAATCTGCTTTGAGAAAAATAACTCTTCTCGATACAAAGACAACAATTAAAGGGTACACTGGGGGAAAATAAGTGATGGAAAAGTAGATGAGATACTCAGACACACTGTACTGGCACTAGATACTCGATATCTCATCATTGTGGGTGTGGTAGGAAAGTTTAAATCAGACCAAGAGTCTTTCCTAGATGATACACATGCTGAAGAAATGTGGCAGTCCTTTAGGAATCAGGAGCTATTAAGTAGGGAATGGATAAATCTCACATTTCTTTCTTTCTCCTGGTTTCTATTTTTTCCAGTTTACAGTTCAATTCATTCTGAACATAGGAGGTTTTTTTTAGAAGTTCACATGCATAGATTTGTCTATGCATTTTTCCTAATATATACAAATTTGCTTGACCTCCATGAGGTTATACTCGCCCTGAAGTACTGGGTGCATAACTCTTGGAGCCGGCCCCCTCTATGGAGGTTCAAAAATCTGCTGTGGCCAAGAGTACCTCCTATCAGCTTCAGTTGATTTGTATACTTGTGCCCCAGCCTAAATGCCTAGCAACAGAGGTTTGTGCATAAGCTATCTAAAAAAAGAGACTCCTGTAATGCTCTTTGTGTAGGGCTGCTCTTGAAAACAGTGCAGAAACTTCAGCAGATCCAAAATGCAGTTACCAAACTGATTGCTGAATCTGGTGAATCCCATATCCCCAGTCTTGGCATACCTTTGTTGGCTCCCTGTTAGTTTCCACACTCAATTCAAGGTGCTGGTTATGTCCTATAATGCCATATACTCTTTAGGACCTCGATATGTATTGGAGTGTCTTTCACAGCAATGAGCTATTCATCCCACCCACTCCATCTATGCTGTTAAAAGTGGCCACATCGAGGGAGTCCAAAAGGGTGAATACAATGAATTGTTACCTCTAGTGTTTGGAATAAAATTCCAACAGAGATATGCCAGGCACCTTCCCTCCTTGTGTTTAGAAGAACAGTAAAGGCAGAATTATTTAAACCTGCCTTTAACAACTTTAATCTCCTGAATGCTGTCAATAATTTTTTTTATGTTTTAATCAATTTTAGTTTTTTTATTGGGCTATTCCTAACTATGATTTAATTTTTGTCTCTTGTATTGCTATGGGCATGGCTTGGGCATGTTGTGAAAATGGCTGATGGTCGGATTCCAAAGGATCTCCTGTATGGAGAAATCACCCCAGAGGGAGACCCACAGCTGCGATACAAGGACATCTGCAAGCGGGATCTGAAGGCCTTAGGAATGGACCTCAACAGATGGGAAACCCTGAGATCTGAGTGGTCAGCCGGGCCTGGACAGGGGACAGATTGTATTTGTCTTCAGTGTGGAAGGGATTGTCACTCTCGAATTGGTCTCCTCAGCCACACTAGATGCTGTTCCAAGTCCTCCATACAGAGCACGTCACCATAGTCTCTCGAGACTGAATGATGCCTAATCTATTCTATTGTTTTATTGGTTTCAATCATATT